GTGTGTGTGTGTGTGTGTGTGTGTGTGTGTGTGTGTGTGTGTGTGTGTGTGTGTGTGTGTGTGTGTGTGTGTGTGCAGAATTGTGATGTCCAAAAGCACCTCTTGCAGGGCTTTGTGCTATCTATTCTCTCTGTCTTTCATACTCATGCACACACAACACCAATACACAACACATGCAAGTACACACTCAGGGACACACACACATGTCCTCTCAAGCCAACACGGTTTGTCAGCAGCTATTTCCAGCCTGTTTTCTGAGAATGAGCCCCTTTCACTGGTGACAACAGGAGTATTGTGTCAGAACACTCACACATACACACACACACTCTCCTTGAATTTGTCAACCTGTTTACCAGTATGGATATTTTCAAAAGTTCTAACCTATAATTCCTCTGTTGATCTGTTTTCTGTAACAGCCAGAATCACCAGAAGGAAGACACACAGGTGGATTATGGTAAATACAATTTATGCATACATTTTGCTGATATTTATTTATAAAGTTTGCACTCAACATTACAATCTTGAAAATAGGATTTCCTCTTCAGAATGGTTGTATTTATCCCATCTATGCTGCTGTAAAACTACATTTAAAAATAGCTCATGAATACCAGCTTGTGACCATGTGACACAGCTGAACCTTGAGCTGCTCTGTGCAGTCCCTAACCCTTACATTACAGAATAGAATAACATATTACAATCCAGTTTTTTTAATTAAAGAACCTTCTAATTGGCAGTGATGTGTTCACATACAGTATATCCAAGTTGCCCTCTTAAAACACAAATATACTGTATGTTACTATTTTCTGGGTAAAGTTGTTTTTTTTACCGATGCCAGTTTGCTGCATCAAGGAAGGAGATGCAGCAAAGTGAAACTAAATTGTCTGATCGGATTTGTAGACTGAGGTGAGAACCACCAGTTGAATTATTAAACATTTTGCAACACAACATTATTTTTATGGTATTCAAAGCATTGGAAGTATTTGCAAGTATTTATCTATCCAGGAATCTAGAGAGGTATTCATCAAAATCCTAGTGTCCTATAAATGAACCTATCTCTCAGGAGAGATACATGATAGTGACTCAAGCTCCTCATACAGCAGCAGATCTGTCAGAGGACAGGAACAGAACAGTTAATGCCTGTGTGTGTGTGTGTGTGTGTGTGTGTGTGTGTGTGTGTGTGTNTGTGTGTGTGTGTGTGTGTGTGTTTGTGTGTGTGTGTTTGTGTATGCAGAAGCTAGTGGACTGTAAAATTCAGTTATTGAAAGTGAGGTGAAGTGTGGTTATAAATAAATAATCTTTCTCTCCCCCTACAGGGGGAGGCACCACTCAGGGACAGATGAGAGGGGAAATGAGGGGTCAGACATCCAGGAGAAATGTTATGCTCCTCGCTTCCTACAGATTCCCCCAGACCTCACTGTGGAGGAGGGACGCTTCTGTAGGATTGACTTCAAGGTGAATCACACACATACACACACAGTAACACCAGGGTCCTAACAGCTCCAGCTTTATTAATACACTTGTGTCTGTATTGCTACAAGGTCGGAGCGTTACGTATATACTGTATCTCACTCAATAAATAGGTGTGATAGTGGTGTGGTCAAGTTAAGGATAAATAATGTGAAAATAAAAAAACCTCACTCCTCTCTTCAGGTCGGAGGCCTCCCTACACCAGATGTCTGCTGGTACTTGGACGGCAAAGCCATTCGTCCAGACGACTACCATAAGATGTTGGTGTGTGAGAAGGGGATGCACTCATTCATCATAGAGATTGTCACAGTGCACCATGCTGGTGTGTATGAGTGCGTTGCCAGGAACCGAGCTGGGGAGAGCAGGTTTACCATGAGGCTCGACGTCATAGGTAAAGTTAGAAGTGCTAGATTTAGGCTGAAATTAGTTTTTATGTAGAATTTCAGCCTGATGCAGCTTAACAGTCTTATTGGTTGAACCTAATTATACCTACAGTTCCTTGGGAAGGTTTTTGTTGGAATCATGTTCAATTTTCTGTGGTTGATGAATGTGAGCTGCACTGATGAGTTCAGTCAACCTCCTCTGCTCTCTCAGCCCAGGAAGTTCTCCGTCCTCCCACCTTTGTGCAGAAGATGTTAAACTCTCGAGCTCTAGAGGGCGACACTGTTAGGTTAGAGTGTAAAGTGGACGCTTCCCCTCCTCCACAGCTTTTCTGGAAGAAAGATAAAGACATGCTGCGCATTGACCCCAACAGAATGAGGTGGGTGTTTGTAAATGTCCTACTTGATAAATCAAAATCTGGTAAATCATCTAATAAACACGTTTTGTTTGAAGGAATGTTAAGAACTATTTACTTGTTGTTGCTATTGATGAAAAGACTGTCTAACATAAATGGAGAAGTATGTCAATATTTAAGTATTATACAAATAGTATTCACTTATAGTAGTATTGCCAGTAATAATAGTATATGTGAGTTGGCATATTGTATATCCAAGTATTCTAGTTGTAATCATAATCCATGATCAGCTGCCAACAGGATCCATGATTAGGATTTGTGGTGTCGGTCTTAATTCAAGATTTTCTCGAACTTCAAATCACCATCAACTTTTCACAAAAACAACACAGACTAGTCCTCATGATTAAACATATACAATCATATCAAACAATTAGTGGAGGGCCTCATTTAATCACTGATTCACCCTTTAATGACTCCTGTTAAGTGTGTTTGTGTTTTTGGTCGTGTTTCTGCCTGTATTCTGACACTGAGCGCAGTGTGTGAATCAAGTGCTAACATTTTTATTTTGTCTCAGTTTGTACCAGGACGGTTCAGGACGGCAGTGCTTGTTGATAGAGAGGTTGCTGAAGTCTGATGCCGGGTGGTACACGCTCTCCGCCATTAATGAAGCTGGCATGTCCACATGCAACGCTAGGCTGGATGTAGGCAGTAAGTCCACTGTGTGTTCATGCAAATTGGCCATAAAGGGCCCATCTCAGCTATCTCTTGTACGAGATAGCCTGGTAGTTACCATAGCAGCCCTGGCTGTAAAATCAAACAACAGATGGAGAGTGCTGTATGCTCAATGCTGCGCTGAATCCACCTCCACACTCTGGAACAAGCGGAAACTTGATATATATCAATATGAGGCATCGACCTGTTCAGCTTACCTAAAGTATACTGCATGATCACCAAGCCAGAGTGAAAGGTATAGAGGAAGTCCACCGGTGAGTGAAAATACAACACGGCTATTGGGTTTCTGCTCGATCACATATCACACCAGCTGCTGTGTGGAGATGGAGCTGAGTGAGAGGCACAGAAAAGTGCCTGACCCTCTGTTACACCTGAGCTGCACTGCTCAGCTGAGCAGCAAAGCTGAAAGTGAGTTAAGAGTTTAGATTACAATCCTATAGCTGAACAGGACCTCACAAGAGAGAGCTCCTCGGCTGCCATAGGTTTAGAGTGTACATATCAACTTGTGGCTTATGTATCTTGTATAGCCATTTTTACTGGCAGAGGATGTCCATACAATTGGGTGTTAACTTTCTCCGTAGGTTACTTTTCACACATGAACAACGCAGCAGGAGAATCTCAGACCTGTTCACAACAAAATACACATTTCCAGTGTTCAGAGGAAGGGTGCTGCAGCAGACAGAGTTAGGGCGAAATGTATAAGCACCACTGTAGGGATCACATGTTTTTGTTTATAGTGCATCGTCAAACCTCAAGTCTTAACATCTTTGTTGGTTTCTTCTGTGTGTGACACTAGTTTTCCATCCTGAGATATTTGTATTCCTTTTGTTTTATTTTTCATTTTAGCATCTGTCACATGTTGGAAGCACCATCAACTATCCCACATGCTCACAGTGAATCCTCCGGAGGATCTCCTGTTGTTTTATTACGTGGGCACATTCACACATTCTCTGTTTTTACTAAGGGGCTGGCAGGAGAGACTCAGGAGAAAGTCTGGAGCCTCTCACTCGATCATTTGCGTTCTAATAAACACCCCCTCTTGAAAATGTCAGAGTTCAGTGCATGTCTGAAAGCAGCTAATGTGAGAGTCACAGTTAGTGAACTTTCTTCAATCATCAGCGGAATTTGCAGTGAGTTAATTTCCACATTGTTGTGAGTGTGCATGAATTACAGTGTAATGCTAAAACAAAAGCTAAATGAAGGTATTACACATTTAATAATCATTTGACTAATACAAGTGTGTGTTTTGGCTCACTGTTAAACACCTTAACACCTTGTCTGAATATTCTTACAAATCTGCTTTTCTGTATAGCTGCTTTCAGACATGCCCTGATCTCCAGATAATCTCCTGACATTCTGCAGAAGGGCTGTATGTGAAAATGCACAGTTTCTCGGACCAGCCCACTCGTACAAACTCTGAATGAGCCGATGTGAAGAGCAGGATTCATCACAAGCGAGTGGATGTGTTGTTGTTTCTAAGAGCAGATGCCAGTGTTGATGTGCTGAGGAGAAAATAATGTGATCTCTGCAGTGGAATAAATATAAACATCCTGCCTCTGTCTGCTGCGTCGCCCCTCACCTGAACACTCCACAGACTCCACAGACTTCTGTTTTGTTGTAAACGTGTCTGAGCAGAGAATCTCCTGCTGCATTCTACATATGTGAATGGCAAAGAAAGTCCAAACCCAATAATACGGACATCCTCTGGATTTCAAGTCTGAAAACTGCTTATTCATTTATTTCATTTCTCATTTGCAGCTCAAATTTTACTGTCTGTTACATTTACAGGGACTTGGATCCCTTTGATATCCTACAGTGGACCTCTTTGACACTTTTGGTCTATTCTCTGAAAGGTGTTTGTCAGACAACATGCTGTCCATTTTGAGTCTATGCGACAAAAGTACTGATATTTGATTATAGTCTGCACATGTGCAAGAATCAGGGGGCTGCACACAGATGGGACTGACCTTTAGAGAAAACAGTGACGATCATACACGTACATGTTTGTATCAAGGAACACTGATACGCCTTAAAGATCAGACACACACATTCATCCTGTTAAACACTCACCGTCCCACTGTACCCGCTGCTACACTAAATCCATCAGTGAATGAAACAAAGAAATAGTTGTTTGTTCAAAGAAAGAAGGTGAAACATGGAGAACTGTGCAGCCATTGTTCAACACAACTGTGTGTTGGTTACTTATCTGACCGGGCCGTCCTGTGCTGTGACGTGCAGTCCATAGGAGTTATTTTCAGACACCTCACCTCACATGAGAAGAATGTTCAGCATGAGTCCAACCACCAGTCAAATCTGCTGCTGCTGTTGGTAGTGACACCAGTAGTGCCGTACAGTGTCAATTCTTTATATGAATAATCGTGAAACATGCAGGTCTGTAAAAACTGATTGAAAAGCAGATTCTCTCTCCTGCTGCCGGAGATTACTCAGTGCTGTCGCTTCAGTATAGACACAATTTCATGTGAGTGTAAAATCACTCATACATGATTCTGATTTGTTTACATTAGCTATTCAAAACAACTGTAGGTATAACTAAAATATATTTCTAAAACTTGCTTTAAATCCAATAATCTTTGAGGAAGAAAATTAAAGATGAGTTAGCTGATACGGCCGTTACATTACAACATATGTGTTTTTGATCATTATGAACACTTTCGAATCATTGTTATCCCAACAAATTGCATAACAAACAAAAATACTATTGTCGAATGTCACCGCTCCTTTTCCTGTTCCCCTCCCAGCTCGCACAGCCCCAGCCATCAAAACAGCGCCCCCTGCCTCAAAGACCCTGAAGCTGCTGTCCTCTCTGAGCCACGTGCCTGTGCTGACTGTGGAGAGCCCCGCCCAGCACACCGCCCCGCTGTACGAGAGTGAAGAGCTGTAGGCCACACCACCACATCCTCCTTTAGCCATCATCTCCAAAGTGTAACACTGGGCCAGAGTCTGTGATAACTGTAATGTCCCCGCAGAGACAGTTCTGAGTTTGAAGCTGGTAGCATCGCAGCAGACGAGGACATGTCTCAGAGTACTTTGGAGGCCAATCCAGATAAGGTTGAATAAATGCAACTAAACAAGCAACACTGAGGTTGATGTACAAGGCAGATAAGCTTCATCCCATATTCAATACGAAGCCACACCTGTGAAAGGCAATAGCTGTAATGCAGTATTAGAGGATTCTTCACTATTATTAGAAAATGTATATCTTGGTCTTGCTAACAAGCTCGCAACAAATCATCCTTGAACTGTCACAGGTTTAGTAAAAGTTCCGAAATGGCCTTTTAGGTATCTACCATGAGAGAAAATGGTGGTCAAATGCCCTGTTAGTAAAAGTAACACTCCTCATATTTTCCATCTGGTGCTGTTAGTTACTCCTGAGCCCACTCCGGCTGTTTCAACATCTTTCTAGTTGAGGCTCATGTTTGATACATGCCTGTAAGCCACTCTATTCTGCACACCTGTCCCTTTTTCCTCATATGCCTGTCCTGTCTGCTCCCAGTAAAACAGTCAAGCTGCTGGATGGATCAGTAGACGTAGATGAGATGAGGCAGAGTCATCCCTGCTGCTAAATTCATCCCAGCAGCCGACCACAATATAGCAACATAATATCCCATGTGGTCTAGAGAACATTTTACCAATAGAAAACCGATGACAGGGAATCTCCAGCAGCACACGTTACATTATGACTTGTGTTGGACTCTTGTGTACTTGATGAGTAAGCACCGTTCATTTGAATAATTGTGCATTATCTTGAAATACAGTGTCTAGCTTTGTTCTTTGGTCTGTACAAGACCCACAATCCAACACTGCCAACATCGATCACTGCACTTTAATCATGACAACTGTCAGTGTCTCATCCAGCATTTGCCCTCATTTTCTTTAGCTTAGCGTTGTAAAGGGGTATATTCATGTTTGAGCATGTGTCTGAATTACAGCTGCTGTTGCCTTTCATCTTATTTTGTGTTTCCCTGTTGTTTTAAGAGAGATTAGATGGTGGTCACTACTCAGATTCTCCGCTGTGATATAAATTCAGCCTAATATGTGTATTTAAAGTTGGTCTCTAATATACAGTGTATGTGAATGAAGCTATTTATTTGAGCTTAAGTAATTATTTATCAGTATTTGAACTTTGAGTTGTCCCTCTCTTGCAAAGGCCTGCAGCCAGAGATGCACATTATCAACGAGTTGGAAAAAGAGCTAGAGGCTGTCATTACTGTACCCAGCGTCCATGACTGAACACAAAACCAGATCTGCACACTCAAATCTGAAATATTGAGTGAAGTTTACATTTTATCACATCTGCAGTGCAGATAAAACATTAACCCAGGAGAAGAGCAGTTTTTCTCTTTTAATGCATGTTTGCATCATAATGTTCAGTTGAAAAATGGAGTTTCAATCAGAATATTTTGCCGGCCTGTGTCCAGTTTTGCTGAACTCAATCAAGAGGCTCATGCAAGATGACATTTCACAAAAAGGCTCATTTTGCCTGCTTACCTCACGGCTGCTTGTTATCATTGCTAGCCAGCAGGTCATTTCACCAAGACCACACATTTTTGTCTGGATCTGCATGCAAACCAAAAATCTGGCATTCAACCCTGTGTGGTCAGACCTTAGTGCAGGAATTTCTTTTTAGAGCAAGACATACAAATGTTTATGTCTGGGTCACAAGAGATTAAATGTACCTGCTGCTCTTTTTACAATATAAACTCATGTATTTGGACTGGATTCACACAGTTAAATTGAAAATGTCATTTACTGAGATGAAATGCATTATTTCTACAGTTTTTTGTGGGTGTTTAGATCAAACAGGGTTAAACATTGGATGTATTTAAAGCACCAGCATAGTTTGGTAAGTTAGGCCCTTTCAGTTGACAGTTTGAACGCAGGTAGAAGTGTGTAACTCTCCTCAAGTATATGTTTGTTGTGTAAGAACCTCTGCACATCACCGGATGAATGAGGAATAAAGTCTGTGTGACCTTGGCTTTGTCTCCAGCTAAATATGTTTTATACTATGGCAGGTCACAAAAACGTAATCAGTCAGACACTAGAATGTCATAGTAGGGGTAAAAAAAGTAAACAGTATATGAAATCAAGACACTGTATAGTAAGACATACAAATGTTATGTGGTATAGTGATGATACAAATTTCATAGTATAGTTAAAATATAAATGTCATCCTACAGTAAGTCATAATAAAATTGTTATTGTATAGTAAGTGATAATAAGAATTTCATAGTATAGTAAGTCATCATAAAGATGTAAAAGTCTAGGTAGGCATTGTAAAAATGTCACAGTATAGTAAAGCATTAAAATGACAGTATAAAGTCAAAATATAATTTTGGTATTGACAAAAATGTCAGGTAGTATAGCAAAAGTATACTAAGGCATAAAATATGTCCCTCCTTTTCTTTAGCTTGGAGTAGAAAGGGGGAAGATCTTATGTTTGAGCTTCAGAATTTAAATGTGTCTGAATTTAAGCTGGTGCTACCTCTCCGTGTTTCTAAAGTTGGTCTCTAATATACAGTGAATGAAAGTATGAATTTGAACTTAAGTCCTGTATTGTGTTTTTTTAAGGATTAGACAGTGATCTGACGGTGCTCATTAAGAAGTATGTCGCCTTCTGGTGGCTGGGTTCAAAACATAAAATATCAACTACACATGAACAGTTCAAATTGTTCTTTTTATTAAAAACTAAGGTTGTTGACAATATCAAAAAATCACATTAAACTTGTTTTGGGCTAAAAGAGGAGATGGTGGACGATAGAAATCATTTCTACTGTGGCTTCATACACCATTTAGTTGCCAATAATATACTTCAGTAATGAAGCTGCACAGTGAAGGACATCTGACAACACCTACTTCTGTACAGATTCACTACCAAACTACCTGCCTTGTCACCAGTTGTCCTCTACTACATTACACTTACAGCTCATACGTTTGTATATATATACAGTAAAGAACAGACATGAGTAGATTCTGTTTGGATCAGTTCAAGCCAGCGATCTTATTTACAGATTTTCACATGTAAAAATCCAAAATGGTGAAAATGCCCTGCTCTGGATCATTTCAGAGCTGTGAAGGCGACAAATCCTGTTGAGTGAAATTCATAAAAATGTATTTCATTGACATTTTCCTCTTTCAAAAGCATCGTTATAATTTTCAGAGGAAAAAATACGAAACAGGTTTTTATCAAAATCTACATCTACATTTTGTTAGTACGAAGGAGCATCTTATCCTTCATACTAATCTTTTTTTACAGGAATAGACATAACACAGCTGATATACCTTATGTACATGTATGTTTTATCATCCATTATTCTGAAAACCTGGACTGTTCCTGTTACAATATTTGACATGTTGACTCAGAACCCCAAAAAGTGAGAAAACTACTGTATAAAAACAGAGTCAACATGATTTTTGTTCTGTTGAGTTATGGTAGAACAGTCATGATCTCAGTGTGGAAAGACGGATCGAAAAAACTAGTAACAGCAGACAGAGAAGTTGAGGGTGCCGTCCTTCCTGAAAGTTCTTTTAGGACGTAATGCTTGGAGTCTGCAGCTGATGCAAACACAAGGCTGCAAGGAAAAGCTCCACCCCCCTCTCTGTCCTCATAGATCAAATTTCTACGTCACTCTCTTTGTCGTTGTCGTGGTCACCATCGTAGAACTCATTGGCTGCCTCTGGCCTGAGGAAGTGACATTATTGAAAGCCAGTCAGATACAGGACAACTGCATAACATTTCAATGCACATGCTGCACTTATTTTAAGCCCTGTGCAGGGACACTGACCTGGTGTAGTTTTCCTCAGCCCCCCTCTCGTCAGGGTCAGGCTCATCATTGCGTTCGTAGTTCAGCATGTCAGAGGGAACGTCGTGTATCTGGACGCTAGGTGCGTGGTTCAACATCTTCAAGTTCTCAAACACTGTCTGACGGATCTGCTCCAAGTACTGCAACGACATACACACTCGTAAAATGATCGCAAAGCAGATGTGCTGATGTAATATTGTCATATCATCAGACACAACATCGTCCCTGAAACACCTGGATAAAGACTTACAATCTGCGTTAAAGTTTCCTGAATATAACCAATCCAAATCAAAACATCTCAGGTGTTTCAGACACTGTGGAGCATTTTCACAACTATAAGAACTGTTAAAACACAGTCGCCTCTGTGTGAGTGTGTGTTGATGTTTCACCTGTCTGGAGTTCTGGTTCTCTATCCTGGTGCTAACATCAGGATGCAGCGTGAAGTCTGGAGCAAAGTATTCAAAATACTCTAGAGGTAGCAGAAACAAGAGAAAGTTGGAAAAGATCCACAAAAGAAAACAGATTGGCAGATCAAATCACTGTTAACCTTCAACTATATGTAAAACTAGTAGCTTCACTGAACTTCCCACAGATTAGCGCCGCTAAACAATGCTCAATATGAATCAACTCTTTGAGCGCATTAAAACAACATTATTCTAATACTGGAACAAAACCCCATTGAGGTGCAGCATATGTAATAACAACAGAGGGCTTGATATTAAGTTTACATGAAGTCAGTACAACTCACCGCTATAAGGCAGCTCATCACTGATGGATTCATCCACCAACAGAGATGTTTCAAAGGTCCTACAACACAACAGCACAGAAATTATATTCAGTGACAAAGCAAAAACCAATGACTGGTATTCAAATACAGTTATGGCAAGTTTCTTTGTTGTGAACCAGTGTTCATTGCTAATTTCTCTCTTGTTGGTTTCTAAATATGTCAAAAGAAATTCTTGGTATTTATACATTTAAATATCTCGATTGTCAGTGTCTTTTCTCCTCTTGTATAACTCAGATGACTCATCCGACTATCAGGATTAGGGCTGAGGAAATCTGATGCCAATCAGGTACGTGCTTCTATATTTTCAGCTGCCTGATCTCTGTATTGAAATGGTTGCACTGCTTACAGGGAACATAAAAGTCCCAGCGTGTGCCTTGTTAACATTACCCTCGACTGTGAAAATACACACTCTGGCAGCATGCTAGCTTACAGTTAACTAGTAGCTACTTCAAACATGAGTCGTCACAAGTCGACACAACAACAAAATGCCAAGAGCTACACGGTTCAAAGTGTGGTTGTATTTCACGAAAAAGGATTCCGATACTGGAATGTGCACTGGACTGTTGACAGTTAAAATCAAAAATTTCAACTTCTAATTCGCCAGATTTCAAGATACAGTTTAAAGTATCAATTTAGCACTGATGTTGGGAAAAACCCAAACGATACCCAAAACTAATCAGGAGCATTAACTAATTTTATTTCATCAGTTAAATCCACAGTTGTTGACATTCCCTGTTAAACTGCTTGTTAATGTCAGCTCTCACGTGCTTGATGCACATTCAGTGGTATTGGCCACTGTAAAAAAAAATCAATATCCACAACTGCCTCCATAGCTTTAAGTGTTTAATTGGACACAGATATGTGGAATCAAACAGCGCTCTGACACACTGTTTATTAGACTCACCAGCAGCGAGCCACGTTCCTCACTGTGTATCCTCCTCCTCCCAGGACCAACAGTGGAATCTTAAAGCTCTTTACAAACTCCACACACTCACTGCACAACACAAGGCAAAGCATACACAGATTAATACACATACAGGCTCCCTCTTTCTTGAAAAACAACAGTTATATACACTGTAAACAATTAGTCATCTGTTACAATGTTTACAAGGACAACACATACAACTAAACACTAGCTCGAATAAGCAAAACTGATAATGTTTCAAACCAAACTCTTGAATGAAATAAGCCTGTCTCACCCGTGTCCTCGTATACTGAGGTTGAAGCAGCCCAGTCTGTCACAGCCTAGAGAATCTGCTCCACACTGCCACCAGAAACATTATGTGTTAACAATCCTCACAAAAGATTTACTCCAATTCTCAAAGAGCTGCATCAGGTCCTAAACCTGAAGAGTAAATGACTCATGAACTGGTAATTCAATAGATGAAGACTCAGACAAACAGACTGACCTGTAAAACGATACAGGTGGGTTGGTAGAAATCCACCACCTGTTTAATAACTGGCTGGAACAAGTGTCTGTAGCCTGAAAACACAAACACACACTGGCTCTAGTTCTTCCTATGACCAGCTGACAGTGGTACTGATCATGTATGATACACAAAAACCTGCATAAGTGTTAGGTCTCAATAATCAGATTTTCACATGAAGTGAACTCACTCTGGTCATCAATGCCGTCTCTAAGAGGAACATTGAGGCAGTAGTATCGTCCGCTCTCTGCCCCAACCTCATACATGTCACCTATAGGAAACACACACACACACACACACAATCTGTGTTAACTCACACTTGTCTTAATAAGTTTGTTTAGTTACAAAAAAGAATTTGCACCTTACTTTCCATGGTTTACTCTAAATTAAGAAAACACAAAATATTTCCACGCTAAAATATTTGCTAGATGCTCAAAACAGCTCACACCTGTTCCTGGAAAAAAGTAGTTCCCATATTTGTGGAAGGACACAGTCATGACACGGTCAGTCAAGTAAAAGGCTTCCTGAACACCGTCGCCATGGTGAATGTCTATGTCGATGTACAGAACCCTAGGGTGGTATCTGTAATCAACACACACACACACACACACACAAAACATGGGTCAGTTGTAAAAAGAGACTCAGGAACTATAAAATCCAGAGGAGGAGTGGGTTCTTACTTGAGTAGCTCCAGGATACTTATGACAATGTCGTTTACGTAGCAAAACCCAGACGCCTGCAAACACAAAAACTCATCTTTAAATAAGTAAAGAAACTCACAGCAAAATATACCGAGATGGCAACCAATTCACTAAACTCTGTTCTGACCTCAAATTTCTTGGCATGATGTAAACCTCCAGCCCAGTTAATGGCAATGTCACAGATCTGAAAAAGACAGAGCAGAAATGATCATCAGTCACAAAAGACAAGGACCTCTGGATTAATATCACGCTACTATGTAAGTTTTACTGAAAACGTGAAAATACAAAATTCTGGGGCACGGACCCAAGAACCCCAGAGTGCACAAAGCCTGGCATCACCAACAGCCCATGGCAGACACCCAGGGAGACATACACAGCTCCATCCATCCACTGGACGATAAAAGAGTTATTTTACTTTTTTTTTTTAGCAGCTCTTTCATTCGTGCTGCACACTGCGAACCTGATCAGGCCAAACCAAGTGTGTGCGGCTATCTTCATTCATTCATTAAGTTTACAGATTCTTTTGTTTTTACCAAGACTAAGTTTGCACATGTCGGATTACACCATTTGTGTGTGTGCGTGTGTGTGAGAGAGTAAAAGAGCGAGCACTGTGGAGTCAGTGTGTATGTATGTGTGCATGTGTGCTACATTTTGTTACACGTTGTTACTTTTGCCTCGGGTTCTGGGACTATCATAAAAAAGCTATACAATTCTTTTATATAGTCCACCTCTCATAGTGATGAATTAAAAAGTTTTCATGGGAGTCAGGAGGAGGTTCTCTATCTATTCTCTTCTTTAATGTAATGTATTCCATATATCACGCAGCCCTACTGTGTACCAGCTCTGAATGTTTTAGTGTTGCGCAGTATCAGACCATGCCGACTTATTTTCACCCCTGCTATTGCAACAAAAAGCTGATATGAGCGATGTATCATGTGCTCAGCTAGTCTTTAATGTGAATATAAAAGCATGTATATTTTCACAATGTAACATTGTTGTGTCGGTAGCACTGTGGCTTTTGAACTTGGAACCTTGAACTCTATGCTCAAACATCCATTTCACCCCCAAAAATTGCAATAGGCAATGGTCTTGATATTTTTGCACAGCCCTAGCTTCAGTAAAGCAAAGAAGGGTTAACACTATCATCTGATGCACATATCAGCAATCAGCAGCTGTTGAGCAACAGATTCAAGGCAGGACAGGAAGATAAATGGAAATAATAACAAAACTAAATCAAATAAATCAGTGCTTGTTAAACAGTACAGACCAATGATTTTCACTGCAGCAGAACTGACAACAGCTGTGTTGCATCACATGAGTTACCTTGTGGTTAAGCTGTGTCGCTCCCTGTAAAGATGCTCCAGTGTATCTTGAGCAGAACTCAAATAGACCTGGAAACACAGGACTAAAACATGGACACAGAGTATGTTGAGTATGGTTTAGTCCGCTCTCTAATAACAGTGATTATACACTAGTTTATTAAGTGAAGAATTCTGACATGTACACTGCTGAATGACATTTAGGAAAGTCGCGCCACCCGGCAGCCATCTTTGCTACGCCAAAGGGGCGGTTACAGTGTTTTTGGCTACAGGCTGTACTTCCTCTACACATGAGCAAGACTGTGGAACAATATGACTGGCTTAGAATGTTTCTTGATCTTCTGTTTTGAAGCAGACCATTGGCTTGAATTGGGTGGAGGGGAGGGGCCTGTGTCAGCAGTTTAAGTGGTTCTTCTCTGTCTCTTGTATTGTCTCTTAATAATGATGAGATATTCAAGTATCCGGGTAACAGAGGAAATGAGACATCCTGGAACTGGTAACAAATATGTAACCATGGGATTTTTGTGTGCTATGTTAACTGTGCAATGAATGTCACTGAAATCTTATTACTATTTCTTGAAGCAAATAGTTTTTAGAATAAAAAAAATACTCACCAGTCATCTCCCACATTGAATGTGTTGAGGCTCTTTGTGAAGCCCTGCATGTTGTTGGGGCTGACCTTCTGCAGAAAGTCTATGTAGTCTTCAGAGTGGAAACGACACATGTCATGCTGAGATGCTTTGTATGGCTTGAACACCTAACAAACACAAAAAAGACACTGTAATGTCTTTCTTTTTTTGGCAATAGTAGTCAACCATTACTTCAGTATGAGAAGCATCGTCAGGGTCTGAATCCCTAGATCCATGTCTTTGTGCTGCTCACCATCATTTTCTTGTAAAGTCCATAGTGCAAAACCAGACTGTGAGTCAGAGACAAGCGGTGAGGCTTCATGGGGTGGCCAGCACCTGGCAGAGACAGTTTCCACATTTTAGTACAGTTACTTCACCAGTGTATTCGTAGTTCATAAGACTCCAAGGACGTGCAGCAAGTCGTCAAGTTGCAGAACCACACTGATGGAGCATTATCATGACTCAGTCAATCCTAGCAAAATGAAATGACACTATAACACAAGATTTAGACAACAAAGCATCAATAACAGATTAACTGTTCAGCGCGATGTGCGGTTGCAAAGGTTAAACATAATTAACTAATTATTACTAAGAAGAAAACCGTAGAGAGTTTGTGTACATGTCGGATCGAGTGGAGCACGTAACTGTAAGTCAACCATGCACCGGAAGCACTTTATATACATGGACAGACAACAAAAACAAGAGTTTACATATGACTAAAGTATGTATTGTGACGTAAGCTAGCAATTATTTTGGGATGTTTACAATCGCATAGCTATGGGTGTTAAACCCGCTTCAGTCAAAACCTACACGACGAACCCCACAAAACAACAGTAAGAGCGTGAGATGCAAAAACAGTCATGTAAAAATAAAAACAGCAGCCTGAGGATATTAGCATGTAGCTGGCTAACATCAGCACCGTTCCCTTTGTAGGCCTGCTCATTGAGACAACAAAACCCACCGTAATGAAAGTTGCCCACGTCGGGGTCGTAAAAGTAGGATGTCCTGTTGGTCATCCTGAAAGAAATATCTTCTGGCTGTTTCCCCCCGTAACAAAGTGTTTCTGCAGCTAAAAACCCCGCATTTCTCTTCAATTAGCAGAGAGCCGCCATGGTGAAAACCAAGCTTTTGCGTCATCAGACCGCGACAGCACTGACGGCGAGGGGAGGGGGAGCAGCTGAATTGCGTGGGAGGAGAAAAGACCATTAGAGATAGAAATAACACCCAGACACAGAGAATTACAAAATTAAACTTTCCTCCACACAATCCAAAATGCCAATATTTACAACAGAAAAGATCGAGGAGCATATATCAGGTCGAGATCTGAGTGGATTGAAGGAAATGAGAACATTTAGTGTGTTGCTGCAGAGTAGAAAAAAAGAGAGGAGAGGAATTCAGGACAAACTCTCTGATAAATCCTGACCCATGCTCAGACCCAAAATAAATAAGTCATGTCTATTAAAACCTCTACAACTCTTCATTTTCTGCTGAAGATTCAGATACTTTCTTAAATCAAATTAAAAAATGTATCCCTCAAATCGACAGTGACTTCTGGAGCGATTGAGGACTTCACAATGGATGAATAAAACAGAGCAGTCATATGCTTACAATTAGTTATCTCCTGGGCCGCATGGATTATTAGACAGTTGTTGGGGAACTTGTCACTACGATTTTATAATTTTTGTGTCTTCCTGTTTTAAATCCCAGTATTCTTGCCATGTTTTGTGACTGTATTTGTTAATGATAGTTTTTACTGTTTGTATTGGTACTGTTTGAGACAAGCATCTGATACTGTATATGACTTTTGAAAATGTCTAATTAAAAACAAGCATTGGGACAGCAATCACAAAGCTAAGCAAGGTAAATTGATTATGTGTTATACTAATTGATGACAAGCACCCACCATATGGGTTAAGGCCACAGGTGAACAGATCTTTTGTTGCAAGTAAATGCCCTTACTAGGTAGATCATTTGTTGCAAATATATCCAGTACAGAAGAAATGTTATCATTAAAAAAAAGCAGATAGACATCTCCCAAATCTAATGGAGTTAGAAACGCTCCACGACCCCCCAAAGATAAATGGTGTCAAAAGTCAATCACTACTCTATACACTATTAGAATCAACTCATTGTGAAACTTTTGGGGGAGACAAATTCAATTTGGAAAAGTATGACACCATTATGTTTGAGACAAAGCAAATGTTTTGATGGTGGAGAAACCACCTCCTGATTGGCTGAAAGGGCAGGAGCAGAGAGGACAGTGGGCAATATAAGCAGAAGGTTTACATCTTGTGAAAGAATAAACTCTTCTGCACTGAACTCTGACCATCTCCAGTGAATTCTTTTGAACAACTATTGACACTCCTGTAATAGCATAGTACACATGTTGGAAAAGAAGTCTAGACTTAGTATCTGGCCCAGTGTTTTTCTTTCTCTTTCTTTCTTTTCTTTCTCCAACAAGCTCCCCGGAGATGTTTAGTGTGAGCTCTGAACATTGTTACACTTTTGTGTTACAGATTATATTTGATCTTAAGAAGATTAGGTTCCTAAAATGAAAAAGTAATCTAAGTAAACATATTCATTTTGTGTGTTTACTCATTGCATCCATTTTCTTAACATCTGTCTCTACTAATTGACACAACTCTGTGTCTATTCCACCTGTACTCATCCATGTGTTGCGCGCAGTGCTGCACTCAAATTACTAGTTTTAGTCACCTGAACGTCTCATCACTGTGTCGGCGCGCAATCCTTGAATTAACTGTAAAACAAGCAGTGTTTTTATTCAGTATTTCTGCAGACATGGAGTACAGACAACCTCGAGTTGGGCTGGTGCCAGGCTGTAGGTCAATGGCGCAGTCATAGGGACGATGAGGGGGCAGAGAGGTGGCCTTGGCCTTACTGAAGACCTCTCGGAAGTCATGGTACTCTGGCGGAACCCTGGAGAGACCAAATACAGCATAAACAGCGTCGGACAGTTGGTAACAGTCTTTATTCACTGGCTCACAGCAGATGAGGTGGTAGACAATACTAAAGACAAAAAGGCAAAAGACGGGGACGGAAGGCAGAGGTGATTACCAGGTTTCAGAAGAGGTAAGGTAAGTCGGAGACAGGCAGGGTCGGCAACAGAGAATAAGTGATTTCTAAATTTTACTTAACTTGTATTTCATTGCAGACAGTATGTTAAGTTATTTCATGTTTTGTATGGTCAACTTAATTTTATTTATAATTATACCGTCCACTTCTCTGGACTCGAAGGCATCTGGGATGGACCATAACACTGTGGAAACGTGTATAGACCAGTCAGTATTTCAGGCTTTTTTGGAAGAAATGGACGCTGTGTGCTCCAGACCAAATATGAAAAGGACCATCTAGACTGTTATCAGCCAGGGTCTGTCATGGTATGGGGTTGTGTCAGTGCCCTTGGCAAAGATTACYTAGATTACGTACACCTCTGTGATGGCACCATTAATGCAGAAAAATACATAGAGATTTTGGAGCAGTATATGSTGCCTTCAAGATGATATCTTTTCCAGAGACATCCATGTACAAGTGAACAAGACAATGCAAAAACACATTYCAAAAGGCATGGCTATTAGAAGAGGGTGCGGGTGCTGGACTGGCCTGCGTTGGTCTGGACTTGGCCACTGTACTGTTGCACAACTTAAGACTTGTTTGCAGGAAGAATGGGAAACAATTACACCTGAAACCATTCGTCACTTGGTGTCTTGAGTCCCTGAAGGTCTTTGACGTGTTTTGAAAAGGAATGGCAACATTACAAAGTGGTAAAGCTTTAATGTCCCAACCTTTTTAAAATAGTTTACAAGAATCAAATTTGAAATAAGTGTTCATTTTCCAAAAAGTTCATGATAACATCTGATAATATGCTTTTGTGTTGTTTTTATTGTAATACAGGTCAAAGATGATATATAAATCTGTAGTAATTTTTAATTTTAAATGTAACATACCATCTCAACTTTTTTTGATTATGTATCGTGTAATGAGCAAGTTCTCTTAGTGCATATTATTTCACTATTAAGACCAGTCGAGTTATCTTTGCAATATAAGGAAGGGGACAACTCCCAGGATGGGGTGTCTAGACCCCCATTAAATCCACCC